TCTGGCTTCTCGTATGTCGATTTTTCGGGTCTGATGACCATCAAGCGAGTTAGAATTTCCTTCTCCTTCATATTATCCATTTTGGGCACCTCACTCCCTTTTAACTAATCTGTGGGGAAGTAAAGAAAGAACAAGCGATAAATCTACAGTACAGGCAACAATGTTTGGATTTATTTATTGCATTCAGGCGTTGAAGCAAGGGAAATGCTTGACTTGATGAAATTGGCTTTTTGTAAAATCCTGCAACACCCCCGCCCCTTCTTCGTCTCCTGAACAAAATTCCAGCACCCTAACGGTAGGCCACATTAAGCAACTTTTCACTGTTTTATAATGCCAAATTTGTCGAGTTTCGCCGTGTCTTGTTTATAAATAGATCAATAGGTTCAGCAAAGGAGACAGATCGTGGAACATGAATAATATCGTCTCCGCATTTTTCAGCCAATTTATTGTTTAAATTCATGTCTTTTATTGAAATTGTTTGGCCTTGCAAGTCACAGTTCGTTTCTTTTACATAGCATTATTTAGCCTCCATTGCTCACTCAAATTTTTAAGCCGTCACCACGATCTTGGATTTCTTGTTCACAGCACTGGGGGCCAGTACCACTCCTGTTTCAACAATTATCAATTTAAGTAGTGCGTCTGCTGCGAAACAACGCATCATTGCTACATTTGTCAAAGCAAATAAGCGTCAAACTGGTTCCATCCTTTATACCATCCTCTTCCTGTACGTAGACGCACAATCAAACGCACAAATGAACACACATACACACAAACATAGATATACACATGTATGTATTACACAGAACTCATACAAGCACTTGTACAAATGCATGTTACCGCTCCTTCACAGGACTTGAGTCACACCACGTCCGCCTAGTGCCAGTCATAATTCAACAAAAAAAAGACTAAAAAAAAACGCTTAAAATGCTCTAAGCTAAAAAATATTTTAAAAAATGTTCCAATAAACAAGTGATTGTTTGCTGCAGTTGTCTGCGGAAGATGAACCTTGCAGGATTTTAGACTTTCCCGGGCACCACTAGCAACTGTACTGCAGAAAGCATTATTTGTGCATGTTTCAATGTACCGATTCGTTTCAGGTTTATGAGGAACTAACTTCCTATGGTATCAAGTTGTTCCTTGCAGCGCCGCACGGTTTGTGTTTATTTTAACGCATCTTTATTTTCTGGATAAGCACGTAATGTGATTTCTCTATAGAATCAAGGAAATGGAAGAAAGTAAGAAACTAGGATTCCCCAGGGCAATCTCCAATTTCGTATAACAAGAATTCCAAGGCCATTCGGGAAACCAGTGCAGAAATTTGCGACTTTAATGCTATCCAGACGTCAAGTCAGGAGGCAACTACGCCTAACCCTTCGCCTCCCGGCTGTGCACTCAGTTAGCACCCCCAACCGCCAGTATGATATATACGAACGTTTTTTCGAAGGCGGAATTAATATTCGTTTACTTCTCACTTTACTTGTTAAAATACAGAAAATATCCCAAAATTGCAGCTGATTTGTCGCGAATGTTCGATGCAACGGATTTTCATGAAACAGTTCCAAGAAGTGTGGTTGTTGGGCATCCAGATGATGTGAGTGTGCGCTGACCACGAAGACAATTTACCGAACATTTTCTAAGTGCAGCCACTTTTTTTGCTCGATGGATTTTAGACCTCAGGCAAATCCAGCACAATAAGGCATTTATTCATTGGCATATTCAGGCCGAAAATAGTTTCCCAGCTACGTAGATACTCCTAAAACGCAGTAGCGGAAATTTCTGCGTGAGCTTACTCCTAAGTAATTTTTGCGGACCAGCGATAATGACGCCCATTTACCACCAGACAGTCCGCGAACAGAAAAGCCCGATCTGTCCATTCTTAACTCGCAATCACACAGGCTTATTCAGAGAACACAGCTTTGTGCACATTTGTTGTTCCAGTTCTGTCGAACGAAGGCTACTTGGAAAGCCGATTTTTGAGTTTTATGAATATAACAAAGACTCCCCCATGAATTGACCGCAACACAGTGTGAATGTTCTACTGGAAAATCACTTCGAAATGAACTTTTTCCATCTGGACGGTGCCTTCGCTCGTCTCTTGGTCACTCTGGAATTTGGTGCAACGTCGCACAATGCTGTCTTTGGAGCTGCTTTTTTTCGAGCACACTCTGGGGGGCCGACCGAGAATTCCAAATTGCACTTGTGCGACAACACAGACATAAAAAACGTCAGAATTGGAAAATAGTCCATTAAAATGTAAGCGGGGGAGGAGGCAGTGGTATTGTGGAATATTTAGCGAGTGCTGGGACAAATCTGTCCTGGCACATTACATTATGGTAATTTACAGGATACGTGCGCGAGCATAACATGTTCAAAGTCTGTTTGTGTTTCATCCCGAAGCCGCATACACAATGAATTTCTATTGCAGTGAAAAAGTTTATTCAAAACTAACAACTTACAAAGGGACAGAAGCTACCCAGAAGTGCTAAAACACTTAAAAATATTAATATACGATGCTGCGACATAGGCATACTCGCACTCACATAGAGAGAGGGAGCTGGTACGCCTTCTGTATCTCCCAAGAAAGTTTAGGAACTACAGATAATCGATTCACAATAATACTCAAGCTTCTGGTGTTCGCAGTTTCTAAGTGGCAT